AAAATTTATCTCTTTAAGTGGTACGTGCCAACAAACTGGATCCTCCAGACGAAAACCTTGAAAAAAGAGCCTGAAAATTCGAATATTCTCCTCTTACCTTCAGGGTTGTCGAACTCGCTCGCTAGTTTCTTCCGTAATTCGAAAGAATCGAAACAGTTCTTGCCAGAAAAAGAATACCAGATGAAGAAAGGAACTTAGAAATGACTGATTGCAATGAACAAGTCCGTTTAGCGAAGGGGAAAAATAACAAAACTTGGAACAATTGATGGAATACGATTGATCGTGCAATCTGTTTCGATGCACGATCGATGAACGCGAAACAAATCATTCAATTTGTTACGGAATTTAATCGAGCGAAAAAAAATTGTTAACGTTCGTGCTGTGCTTTCTTTTGTAAGGAAAATAACAAATTCAACATAGTTGCAAATGAAAATAGCGATGAAAATGTAATTAACGAAACTCTAGGAAAGATTAATTACCGAGGTAATTACAGACGTTGGTAATTCATTTTTAAGACAATTAATTTCTCTCGAAAAGAAGATAGAACTCTGTTTATCGCTGTTGAACGACTTCTTAAAGTCACGCGTCCTAAAGTACGACACAAAAGTAGTTGCAGTCGCGTCGTTTTTATGAATTACTTTCTTGATTTACCGTCGCGTGGTATCGTACTAATGGCCGACCATAAATTGCCGGCCTTATGAGCATTGCGATATAGAGTGCCTATGGGGACAGTTGTATATGGAGCGAGGTAAACGAGGGATAACCACACGTTTCATTGAATCAAAAATATAGAAGTAATGATCATACTTTTAAACTCCTATAAATTTTTCAAATCTGACGTGGTAAAATAATTCAAAACAAAAAGATTGATAAAGTAATAAGTTTATTTTCCAAACGTTAACATATTTAATAATTCAACAAAGTTATAATAAATCTTAAGTAAAATGTGAAAATCCAGAAATTTTATCTCACCGAGTATTCGATACTTGAAAGTTCGCAATCCAAACGAAACTTCAGCATCGAAAAATCGAAGTATGTTGCCCAGTACGAGGATATTCTCCGAAGCAATGTTCCAGGTTGCAGAATGCTCGGTATCTCGATTGCAAAAGGGTGTGCAATTTCAACGTGCTTCCATGGCGAGAAGTTGGAGTCTCGCGATTCGGCCGGCAACTGCACCGGACGAACACGCGGGTGCAATATGCCTGTGCCGTCGGTGTTTACCGAGCTCTCCGCGATGGCACTTGCAACAGGAACTCGTTTCATGTTTCCGGATGCTGTCCTCGTACAACTGAAACGGATCGCTGTCGCGTGTATAACAAAACCAAAAGGTAGAAAATAAAAATATAATAACGACGGTACACAGCAACCGCCACCCGTGTGACGGAAAGAAAAAGAATTTTTGGAAATGCACGAGGTAAAAGCTGGAAAATCTTTTAGTTATTTTTGTAGTCGGATATGGGGAAGAGTGCGAAGATAAATACGATGAATTTATTTCAATTTATAATAAACCCTGAAATTAGAAATCTTTGTTGCACGATGAATACGAAGGGTAACATCGCACACTGTGCATCACGATAACGTAGCTATGCACTTTGCACACGTGCGACCTTCGTTTACTATGTAGATGCATCCATGTGCATATGAGCGTACGTTTCTGAACGTATACGCACGTGCATACACGTGAATAATGTGGCTTACGATCTGTGTAACATAATGCAGAATACAACGGTAAAATACATTACACGTACGTGTAATGTTTTAATATTTTAATGTTTTAATTCTCTCTTAAGAGAGAATTAAAAAAAGAATTGCTTTTATGCAATTCGTGTTTCAGAGGATTTATAAAATGAATGTTAGGTTATTAAACAAACTTTATTGTTGAAAGCTCTCAGAGGAACAAACGATAAAGGGAATTATTAATATTGAAATAATTAGAATTAAACAATGAGTTAATAGAGGATTTTTCGAAACTACACGAAGCGTGTTGGTTCAATCCTACCATGTACATTTTGTATAATCAGCTTACAGAAGCACTGTGGCGAATCGTGTTCCACTCCGATATCGACATTAACCGATGCATTTTACCCGTTTAATAGTCGTATTTACGGTTCACGGATATAATACCACGGGTTAATTAATTGTATCAAAAACTTTTACTCTGACGATAATGAAAAATCAATCTCTAAATTTGAATATTCTTAGGTCATTATTTAATGGAATTATAGGAATGCTGTACGCTCTATAATATGCTATGAGATACCAAGCAAGTGCAACAATTAAGTGAAACTTTGGTAAATAAACGTCCGCATTTAGCGAAGCGTGAAACCAACCTTCAACCGCAATGCTTTTAACTGTACATCAGAATATCGGTTGAATTATTAATAAACTTCTACGGCGAATACATATTGCAGCAGAAACCCATCAAAATGAATCATTAGAATGCAACTATTAACCATTAGAATTTCCCAAAGAGCACGCAATTGTTCGAGAAAAGAAACACAAGTTTTTAAACGTGGTTTTATAATTTACAGCACACGAAATTCGAAATTCCGTGGCCCAGTTTCCGCAAGCAACTCGTATTAATAAATGTTACGAAAGTTCCAACGATTTTATTCACGGTTCGTTACATGTGACAAATGTCTTAACGAGAATATCGTACTAGAACAAAAGGCTACCAGTTAAACCCAGTATGCACATAACAATCCGTAAAATGCAGGTGTTGCTGCAGTTTCGTTTCGCTACCTGTGCCCTGCCGAAGAGAATTTCGGATATCAGGAACTTTGATCAAGCATTAAGGTCAATAAAGTTAAGGATTTAATGAATAGTAGAAGGTGTTCGCAAAATTCTACAAAATTACGGTATTTCATTGAGATTGATTAATATTTCATGAAAGTAGCTTTAATATCGTGGTTATTAATCGATTTTAAAGAGACATTCAAAGCAAATTGAAGCTAATGGGTACTTTGACTGCCATATTCCGTTGCGAAAAGGGAATATCAAGAGCGCCGATGGCTGACACAATTTTCCCCGGACTGATAATTGCTTGCATAGGTTAATTACGTGGTATATTATCTTTTTAGCATTTATAAACATATTCCGGATGCTTTGCTATTCCTTTTAATCTTACAAATTAATTTTGTTCCGTTCTGTCCATGGTTTTACAAGATTTTTAAAATTTCTTTTTAAAAAACAAGCATTTGAAACGATCTCGAAAAATAGAAGTTTAATTGCTTTTGCATTTTTGTCATTTAGAAATTTAAGGCAGACATTTAATAACTGTTCATTTTATTTTGCCCTCTTTTAATTTCTGTTGAAAGGACAAACTATATTTAAGCTTCTTGAAACAGAAAATTAATTAATTTTAGATTTCTCTCATTTACAAGCAGAAATTTAGCAAACGTTAATTTTATTTTATCCTTACTACGCTTTTATTAAGTTTTTTAATTTGCTTTAAGAGGACAAGCTACCTTTGACCTTTGAAATGCTTTTGGAAAGAGAAATTTAATTACTTTTGCATTTCTGTAATTATTTATAAGTAGAAATTTAAGAAATAATTCTTAAGGGAGTATTTGAGACACAAGCAATATTTCTTCATGAATTTTTTGCATAAAACTTCCCTTTAGTCGCTGCAACTCGTGCCTCGTTCCGGAAATTCACATTTTCCAAGGTAAAAAAGAACCTGGGTACTTTTAATTTATTTTGTCAGAGAATTACGTGGGCGCTATATTGAGGCTGATACATCGCAGTGCCCTGCTGGATTCGCGTTTAATCCGTTCCCACGATAATTTAATATTCCGTGTGTGCACCCTCGCTAGTTGCAACTTCTGAAATTCAATTTTACATGTTCCTTCACTGGCATATACTAGATTTCGTTAATTGGTGCTCGAACATGTTATTGAAAATCCAATGTATTATAAGTTTTTAAGCTTAAATTTTTTGAGCTTAAAGACATCAAAAATTAATTTTGTAATCTAGTAAATTAATCTTGAGGTAGTAGGTTATTATTCAAATTTAATTTTAGGGCCAATTTTAATAGAAGTATCAAGGTATATGTGTACGTTTTCTAAGCCTAGGTCATCGGAACTTAATTACTAGTTTCCAGGCTAAGTACCTCTGATCACAAGAAAAGCGGGAAAACGAATCAATTTTCTTCTCACGTAAAACATTTAAGATCACCACCATGCAATAATTGAAGCAATTATCTCGGAGATTTTAATTAAAGTCCGTGAGAATCGTACTTGAGAATACAACAATAGGATTTCCAGGTTTTATTAAGTAGCTGAGAGAAAACTTTCCCTTCTTTCTTTGCACTTTTTAAATGTTATAGTTAATGGGGTTCTAAGAATGTCATATCAACCCTTGTGTAGCCAGAAATGATTCTTTCGATATTTTCCTTTTGTTACAACTTTTTGATTTTAAATTCCTATATCTAACAATGATAATGTACGATAGCATTCTTTATTTATTTGGGATCTTCACTTACCCTTTCATAACCGCCTCTTCGAATCCTCTTCTAATTTTCACGCGTTATTATTGATCCATTCTTTCTCCTCATTTTTGTCGTAATTCTTTAACAGTTATAAGTCGTACCACTTTGATTAATAAATTTATTATTTCAGCTATTTATTATTTCACTGTGAAATCTTGTACCACTTCATTTTTGTGCTCCTTCCCAATGTTGGTCGAGAACAGACTGCTGGTTTAGACTTGTCTTCCAGTACACACGGAAGATCGCGTAGGAGTACGGTTCCAATCCGCGTTTGCCCACGTGATAATAATTATATGATGTTCTAAGAAAAAATTTTCAATGATATTACAGGAAGATATAAAAATATTAGAAAGTAAGGAGTTTAATAGGCTAACAGTATTGTATTTATGTCACTCTTATATCCTATTTTTAATTTTCTATCAGTGCGCGCGTCGGACATGACACAACTAGCGCTATCCAGCGATTGGTGGCAGAATTAATAAAATACTGTCTTTGTTTTCTATGTCCGCAGGTGTTCACACCTATGACTGCAGATGCCACTAGACTGGACATTGAGAGCAATTATTTAATTTATAAATGCTGCAACAGCTAAAAGCAAGGGGACTGACACCACCATACTCAATAGACAACTTTCTAGTAGCACCCAACATTACCGCTTTAATAATTATTGATGCTTAACCACAAACAATTTAAAACTGTGATCTACCCAACTAAAGAATAAGTTTTAATTATAGATGTAAACCTTGTATAATTTAGATATAGTTTGTACATAAAAGATAGAGTTTAGGGAATAGTTATAAGGTCTTCGTCGTGCAACCAAAGTTTCTGGAAAGTACAAATTAGCTTAGGTATACAAATAGTACTTATTTCTGTAAACTTTTATATGTTCATAATAAAGAGACACACATAGGCCCGCGTAGGGCCTCAGGTGTTTTAAAAAATAAAACTTATTTAATTTACCCAATTTCGTTTGTGAGTTATTTATTTAATTTACCCAATTTCTTTTCCGAATTGTTTATTTAATTTACCCAATTTCTGTTCTGAGTTATTTACTTGATGCACGTCATTTTTTTCCTCACTTAATAATTTAGTTGACTTAACTTCTTTTCTTAGTTATTTATTTATGCAACATTCAATAACTGTTTGATCTTAAATAAAATATAAACATAGTGTGCATGAAAATCAAATTTAAATTAAAATACAGTAATTTACGGCCCAACATAAGAAATTTGACATAACACGAGGTGTGACTTTCTCAGTCTTATAGCAACCACCGAGGGATGTGGAACAACTTGTGAAACATGGCATATACTTCTTATTTCCTTTCGGAGTACATATAATTCTTTTAATTTTACCAGTTATTTATTGTTCTATTCTTTTTTATGGACAAGAGCCTCCCTTCGCAGATACATATTTTTTTATTCTTATCATGGGCCTCGTGAGGAATATCCCTAAATCACTGTATCCCGTATACCCTGTATTTCTACATCCCTTAGATCTCTACATCTCTTATATCCCTGCATTAATCCCTTATATACCTCCGCATCCCAAACATCTCTATATTTGTTACATCCCTGCAATCCATATACCTCTGCATCCGTTACATCCCTGCTTTCTTTATACCTCTCATCCCTAAATACTTCACATCTCTGCATCCGTTACTTCTCTGCATCTCTTACATCCCTGCATCCCTTACATCCATGCATCTCTCACATCTCTGTATTCTTGCTAGCACCCTCTAGCGGAGAAAGTTTGAACTAAATTTTCGACGTCGAATCAGCGCCCTCTGGCGATGAAAAAAGGAACTAAAGCTTGCAAAAATCTTGGCCCTCTAGCGGGAAAAATTTGAATTAAATTTTCGATGTCGAATCAGCGCCCTCTGGCGACGAAAAAAGGAACTAAAGCTTGCAAAATTTTTGGCCATCTAGCGGAGAAAGTTTGAACCAAATTTTCAATGTCGAATCAGCACCCTCTGGCGACGAAAAAAGGAACTAAATCTTGCAAAATTTTTGGCCCTCTAGCGGGAAAAATGTGAACTGAATTTGCGATGTCGAATCAGCGCCCTCTGGCGACAAAAAAAGGAACTAATCTTGCAAAGTTTTTGGCCCTCTGGCGGGAAAAATTTGAACTAAATTTTCGATGTCGAATCAGCGCCCTCTGGCGGCAAAAATTTCAACTAAAGCTTTTAAGAAAAGGGGACCAAATTTATAAAAAACTTCAGGTAAGAATTCAGAAATATGAGAAATAGAAATATATGAGGGATGCAAAGACCTAAATGATACAGGGACGTAAGGAATGCAGGGATGTAAGGGTTGTAGAGACGTAAAGGATGCAGGGATGGAAGAAAGCAGTGATGTGAAGAATGTGAGGAATGCAGATCTGTAAAGGATGCAGGCATGTAAGGGATGCAGATGTGTAAAGGATGCAGGCATGTAAGGGATGCAGATGTGTAAAGGATGCAGGCATGTAAGGGATGCAGATGTGTAAAGGATGCAGGCATGTAAGGGATGCAGAGATATAAAAGAAGCAAGGCTGTGAGGAATACAGAGATGTAAGGGTGCAGGAATATGAAGAAAGCAGGAATGTGAGAAATGCAATATATAAGGGTTGTTGCGATGTAAGAAATGCAGGGGTGTAAGGATTGCAGATATACAGGATGCCGATATATAAGGGATGCAGAGATGTAAATGATACAGGGATGTAAGGTTTGCAGAGATGTGAGGGATGCAGGGATATAAGTTTATTCAATATGCTAAGAAGACATATTCAGCAAATTGAATAAACGTAGGAAATGAAATAAGAGTATGTGTATGTTTAAAAAGTAGATCCGCGCCCTTCGGCTGTCGCTATAAGACTGAGGAGGTTTCATTTTGCTCTGAGGTTGATAACGGTGCCCAATCAGCCATGGCGTTCCCAAACGGCTAAGCATGATTAATTATTTTGACAACCGACTTTTGAATCGAACTCATTATTCATTTTGCTGGTTAATTAACGAACCGACTCGATTTAGCGACTAACTACTTATTTGAGAAAATTTTGTTCTTTCCCAAATACAAAAGTGTCACCTTAATGCCTGCTGGCTCGTGGCATCGCCCAGTGGTGAGGACATCTTCTCCTCTGCTGACTTACGATTAGGCCGCCGTTTTGCCTCGAGAGACGTCGAGTTTCTAAGATTATCATTCTGAAGTATAGAACAAATAGCAAAGCGGCTGGCAGCCATGGGTTCTTGTATGCGCTAATATGGAACCAAACAGAGCAGATTTCTACTTTATAAAAGAGTTAGTCGCGTGGTGCAGCACCAGTAAAATCCTGTGCCTGAGTACTCTCGATACCGACGAGATACTGTATCGGTACGACAGTATCTTGTCGGTGCTCTCGATTCTTCTCTGCTGGATACTACATGACCTGAAATACCGAGATTCTTTTCACTAAACTGATCTGTTGCGCACCCTACGATTTAGAACGGTAATTTTGAGAACTACAGAAACGATCAATGGATCGCACTGATTGATAATGAAAAGAAGAAAGGTTCGAAGAACGTGTCGCGTAACACTTTGGTTTTTCCTAAACATCCAAAGGCTGTAATACGAAAATTGGAAAGGAGTTACATGTTTCATGGTAGTTTTGAGTAATAAAATGTCCATATACTTCATTTGCTTTAATAAGTAATCATTTATTATCACACATTTTACTATTCCTCACTTACATTCGCTATCATTTTCATTAATAAATAAATAAATACAATGCACGATAAATACAACAATATATCATAGTAAAATGTAACAGCAATTAATAAGTTATTTTATATGATTTTACGATAAGTAAAGAGTTATACGATGGAAGCACTATATTAATTACAGTACTTGAACAAATTGCCCACAAAGTATCATTCAAATACGTACTAATTAATAGACTTACCGACGCACAACAAAGTAAACTATCATACTAATGTACATACAATATGTGGTTAAATGTTCATTACTTGAATTGAGCACATTCATTAAAATATACAACCTCTAAAAACGTCGTTATTTATTTAACAACAGTAACCATTTTTTTTTTTTAATTGTAAAATACTCTTCTGATGCTTCACGCAATATTTTTTTAATTAGCTTGCGGACAATTCTTCTGATCTGTACGAATAAAATATGCTCTACTGATGTTATTTTTATCTAATACTTGATAAGCCTTTTCTAAAACTGGAACCGGTGGCTTTGGTTCCCTTGCAAGGATCCATGCGTTTCGTACACTGAAGAACATATAGGAAATCAATGATAGTTATCAAATTTATTTATATAAAAGATACTTTCTGGTAGATATAGACAGTTACCTGAATACACCAAAGTTCGAACAACTCCATACTACAGCGTAAGATTTGTAATCGGTATCCAGAATCCAGTAAGGTGCATCTAACGGGACCGGAATTGATGGAAATGTGACGACTAATCTAGGATCATCCGCCTTAGCAAGTGGTTTCCCAACCCCTTCGATACTCGAAGAAACACCGGTTCTAAATAAGCAACAAAGATTTCATTTTACAAAATTACTCGATTATCAAGCAATGTTTTTTAATAAGCATAAATTCAATCGTACTCACAATGCAGAGATCTGCTTATTTAAAATGGTTATCGTACCATTTTCGGTTGGACCGTATTCCGCGGTCACGCACTTGCCGCCGAATTCGAATAACGCGAAATATCTTTCGATCTCGTACCATTTCCCCAGATACTGGAACATAATGAGAGGTTTCATTTATTCAAATGTTATGGAAACGTTACTCGATATAAATTCCATGCATCTCGAAGAGAGTTTGAACTTCCGTTGAACTTGGATACTTTACATATCTCTTATTACAACGGATGTATGTATATCAATGTCTTTATTGAGGACAACTTTCTAAATACAGGTTGCATTGCACCTTAAGTAAGTCAATAACACAGGTAAACACCAGGAATCTATTCCGGTGTCTAATATTCATTGTTAACGTGACGAGCATAATAATTGCGATACGTACCCTTTTCGGGTCAAAGTTGTCCAATGTTTCCACGTTGGGGCACACGCCTAGAAATGGCACTTGTGCCATCGCGACACTTACGATGATCAAAATTAAAGGTAGCCGCAACATTGTTCTCTGTGAACAGAATTATGTGTTACAATTCGACGTTACACTTACATATGTACGTACAATTGTATGAGTAGAAACAGGAAAAACAGTTTATATAAACACAAAAAGTGTTATACAAGAAATTGTGCAGATGGAAAAGTTACATAAGAAATGTTTTTTTATTCTTTTATCAAACGTTTGATGGCCTCAGTTTACATATAAACCTTTTTCTCTATTTTTACCCCTAAAACATATTCGCAAAGTTTGAATAAAATTAAGACAATCTGTATGAATTGTATAAATTTCGATATAATAATCGATCGAATTAAGAATATATTGTTAGATATTTATTTAAAAGATATTTTGTCCTTTGTAATTTTATGCAAATAACTCTTCTCTCTGTTAATGTACATTTTATCTCTTTCTTCACTTTTGTTAATATTGAAAAATTACAATAAACGCATAGAAACCCGCAGCAGGTGTCTTCTGAATATCCAATGGTTGCAAATGTTTTCCTCAGCAAAGCTGCGATCGTTAAATGAATCAAATCACGTTCGAGAGAACAGTTAACTTCCAACCTTCCAGCTTTGAACAATGTAGCTATAATGTAGCTTCCCGTTATTTAGGGTATCTTGCTACAACCTATCAATAATTCACCTGTATTTATCGCAATGTTACATATTCATATCGCCGATAAGGTGTATTTTTTAGAACAATTTCACTCGTCCTAAATAACGTTCTAGATTATTGAAACTAGCATTTCAAATTTTCTTTAATAGTTCCAGTGACCTTATTAGTAATCAACATCTTAAAATAGAATTGATAAATTCTAGACATTTCTAAAATGAAATCTTTCTGGTGGTTTGCACGCTGTCAAGATTAGGAAGTAATAAAAAAAAAATAATGAAATGATTATTTATGGACAATAACGCTGAAGCGTGTCGATATCGATAAATCGATCGTTTTCTTCTGCATGATCATCGCGTATGCGATGGTAGCGTTCGATAGCAGAACCTTTAAGTCGTGTTGAATGAAAATCACGAAGGTCACGGGCTGAACTTGATTCGAATGGAAGACGTATACCTGATTGCCAGTCGTTGTACACGCTGAAAGTTGACAGGTCCGAAGAATTCGATCAGGGTTGACAGTTACACTTCTCACACGATCAACTGTTCGTTGTTGACTGGCCTTCCCGTTCTTTGCACGTTCCGTTTACGCAGACAGAGTCATACAGGCCGACTGGGTGCATTCGAAAGATTTCTGTCAGTTAGTGGGTCGCTAACGGTACGTCCAAGGTTCAAGAAACCCGGGTCTGTGATTCGGATTTATCGTCGACCAATCAACTCTTCACCGATCTCTGCTCATCTAATTTCGGATGAATTTTGTAGAACCGGTTCCAGAAATACCTCGTGGCCAGAAAATATGAAACTTTGATACACGGGATGAGTCACGTAATTAAAAGTATCGATTAAATCTAGATTTTAGTTCGAGACCTTGCTTTTCTTACGAGTGCAACGATGCACCTAGAAAATTCGAGTGCACCTCGTTTTCTAGAATGAAACTGCATATTTATTTTATACAGGTCGATTCTTGAAAATGTTCTACGTAAAAGAGTGCTAGGATACAGTGTTAAAAATTAATATCTAACTTTAGAATTTGAAAAAATATACTCTGAATAGCACAATTTACAATTTTTCTAGCGAAGGTACGGCGAAGAAGGATTTATCATATTATAATATTTATGCTGCTTTTGAAATACTGGCAATGAGACACCTAATGTAAAGTACTTGCTTATCAGAGTTTATTTTTACTTTTATTATATACTGTTTCCTACATATAAGGAGTTTCTATAGATTCTATGTTTCAAAATTTTAGTGAATTGTAGTTAGAAAAGATTTGTATTATTTGCAAATAAATAGAGTTTGTAAAAAATCAATCTTTCTTAAAGTAATTGTTCCTATTCTTTTATAATGTTTTTTATTTCAGCAAATGATAAATATACGTATTTACCAATTAATCATAGTATAATATTTTTTCATAACATACACGAAGAATAATTAGTAAAAGAAATAACGAGTACACTATAAAATTCGTATCAACATTTTATGTAACAATTTATTGAAATTCTTTTTTCTTTTTTTTTTTACATTTGTACATAAGCTAAAACAAGCATCCCCCTATGCCTCCATGAACCATGAAAGTGATCATTTTCGAAGGAACGTAGAATAATGAATACGAATACTCAGGCGAGACTGGTTTCCATAATAAAACCGCTACGAGCCTAAGAAAAATAAAAATTTGTTGAATGAGATGAATTAAAAATTTTTTTTTAGAATTCTAGTTTCAAGCAGTCTTCTCCCCTTGTTTCATATTTTCATCGACTTTCTCTTTCATAGCCTCCTTTTGTTTCTCCTCCTTTTCTGCAGTTTCCTTGAACAGATTTTCTTTCTGGGCCTCGGCTACCTCCACGATTCGTTCAGCAACCGGGTTCACCGGTTTCTTCTTAATACCTTCTTGTGCCTTCAAGGATAATTTTTCGTTGTTCGCTTCGATGATGATTTGTGGAGCATCCGGTACCACGGCAGTTCGAACAGAATGTTCAGGCTTTTCCTCCGATTCCTGGGGGTTCTCTTCACTTTGCGACACTGCTTCCGCAACTTCCACCGGTTTCGCCGGTGGCGCATCCAAGAAAGCGCAGTCTTCTTGATCCGTTTTCACGAAGAACGTTTTCGAGATCTTGTACTTATCCAAAACAGCGTACGCCTATTTAAAAAAAAGATTCAACATCCGTCCTCCAAGGACTACTAAACGTAACTTGTCTATAATTAACTAGAAATAATCGATGATAGATCCTTTTGGAAATTCGTGTATCATTCGTGTGTGGATATCATGACAGCTAAAATATCAATAAAGATTCGAACGTACCTTTTGCAACACTGTTCCTGGAGCCAATCTTTCTCTGGTCATGACCCAGGCATTCTGTGTATGGAATGGACCAATACCGGAACAGCTCCACAAAACTGCATAACTATCGTAATCCGTTTCAAGCACCGAGTATTTTGTTTCCGGTGCCAATGGTATCGTGTATTTAACAGTCAATTTTCCCTCCTCAGCTTTCGAAGCAGATTTCTTAATTTCACCCGCTAACACTCTCTTGATTCCGGTGCTGGATATTCAATGACAATCTTTCAATTATAATAAATATTCCTTGTTTCAAACAAATCGTCAGGTATGTACTTACAATCTGTTCGTAACTTCGTTGCTGACCCGAAATTTGCCATCAGGACCCAAAGTATAGTTCGTCATAACGCAACGCGACACTACTTCCGTCAGCTGGAAGTACCTTTCGGCCTCGTACCAGACACCCAAAAACTGCAAGAAAACGCGTTAAATTATCATTTCAATAAAAGAAATTATTTGAATTTTCAGAAGAGTACCTTAGTCATGTCGAAGTTAGCCATGGGAACGTAATCTGGACAGAAGCCCAGACTTGGTATCTGGGCCCTTACCAGGGCCAGAGCTGAAATGATGATAACAATCTTCCCGATCATGTCTACTGTTGATCTGCTGTGAGCATCGTTCGTACCTCTTGCTTTATATACATTAACCGGGGAGTGCAAGAGCGTTGACCGGACACTACCCCCCTCTGTTTTACCTACACGTGAATATCCTTACGGTACTCTTCAGAATCTGGTCACCAGACGATGGTCATTGGTCAATGTTGCTACCGACTTCTCGTTGGCAAAGAAATTCAGACAAGATGGGTGATCGACGACCCGTCTAGAAACGAGCTACGTGTGTAACCAGCATTATGCAATTCCTTGACAACGGTACTTCCAACCGAACCAAGACAAATCCTTTTCTTTGACCGATTGGTGTCAATCAATTTGATGGGATGCCAAGCCCAGGCTGGATGTACATGGGTAATTGTAACGGATCCTATATAGGTCTACGAATCTTCGAACTCTATTCTCTTTTCTATTTCAACATTTCTGATCATTCCTTTGGCGATTGAAACGGAAAATGAGAAAAATCATCGTGATGCAATTTTGTTGATAGTATTTGAATGAAATAATGGTCCCGAAGAAATTAAGTCGAATTTATGGTTAATTTGGCTGAGGATTTTACCCTTGAAATTTTCACTCGTGATTAGAGTATTTATCACAGCAACCATGCTGGAATGCATGGTTGTGAAACTTGCACCTTTGATGGTGTTATTCCTCTTCCTGCAGTCATTCATGAAACGGGTTTCAGCGACCTCGACCTTAAGTCTCTGTATTTATGTGTTCAACAAATGGAGCAGGTAGATGGCAAATGGTAGCTGAGTTTTCCTCCGCGGAACGAACTGAGAACTGGCTATTACTTATCGTGTTACAATTATGCAATCGACGCTATCAACGCTCAGATGCTTAGCATATACCACCACCATGAAACCATGGGTCTTGCCAGTAACGGGTTTTCTCGACGGGCTTTCTTTTTGTATGAAATCCCCTTGGTCATTGAACCGTTAGTTTCGAGTAGATATTCTTCTAACGATACTCTAATAAATCCATAAACGAGGAACCGTTACGACGTCATTTTAAAAACAATATTAAACCTGTCTTCTTTTTTTCTTTATCTAACTCAAGCCTTGACTTTATCAAATCTTCACTTTGTTCCTTGAAAATAAAACGATCGACAGTTGCAAAATTTTCCGTGGAACTAAAAATGTTAAAAATAATAAAGTATCATTCTTTTTTTTTCTAAATTTTACAGGACAGATATTCTGATATCTAGAATAATTCTAAAACGATGATATTATTTTTTGTACGAGGAGGGAGCAAGGATATTAACAAGAACCAGGTTGTTTCCGATCACTCATCTGTCTTCCATAGATTTCTCAACTGAATTAATTTATTTCTTGTAAACCTATGAACACTAAGAAAGCACGCGGAAAACGCATTCCGCTCGGAAGATGCTTAAACTCTACGAAACTCTGGCCAGGTGTTCGGAAGGGCAGTGAATAATCAACGGAGAGAGGAATATTTTCAATAAATTTCTACTTTTCTTCTTAAAGTTTCATATGACAAAATGAGAACGATTTTGCACTAGATTAAAACTTTCCAAAAAAGATATATTCAATTTATGTTCCTTGTACACGTGATCGAAATAATTCAATTACTTTCGAGAGGATAAACGTGCCCTTTCGAGACATCTGGCGGCGAGTGTGTGTATCTTTACACAATAAACGTAACTAATTAACGTTAAAATAATCTATATACATAAATCCTAGTGCGCTTACGTCACGAGAAGGGGGGGACGAGGGGGTTGGAGAGAGTTCTAGGAGAAGAAGGATTGGAATAGAAACGACGAAAAGTTAGTTGGTAAAAATTTCTTTAGGCAGCTCGCAGAAAAAAAAAAAGAAGAATTCGTAATGCTTGTTCCTCTCGCGATCGAAAGGCATTTTTCTCTCTTTTTTTTCTTTTTCTTTTGTTTTATTGAAAGAGCCACGAGTCGCGCTCGTGCCATGCGCCGAGGCGTTGCACGCTAAACAATAATTACTTTATCCTTATTATCATTTAGTATCACATTGCGTTCACTGTTTTGTGCTGGCCGTTTATGCCTGGCTTAATGAGAGCGCATACCACCCCTCTAATCTCTTCTTACGTCCTTTGGTTTATTCCATTTTGCAGGATTTTTGCTTTTCAAAAACGAACGAATATCATTCAAGATTCATTCAGTTTGTATACACGGATATTATGGAATGCACGCGTATCTTTTAAACAAAATATATATATACATCAAATATATATATCAATTTGAAATAAAATTCTTTCGATTCTAGTTAGAATTTGTACGTTTGATTTCTGATGCTTCGGATCGTTCGTTTGATAGCTCGAAATTTTTCAACGAAGGAACGGAAGAGAGGTCGAGGCCCTTCTTCAAGGCACCTTAAGTAATAATACCTATCTAACCAAGAAGAAAGAAAGAAAAACAAAGAAAAATAATGACGTCCTGCGTCAATGAGAAAGAAATTAGAGAAACAAAAGCTGCTACTTACAACGATCTAGATCCTACCTAATCTTGGATTAATTCGAGTGATATTGAAACCTTCTACGTGAATTAATTAAACGTTTCCTTTCAATTCCTACAGCGAGCTCGTATCGTCATCTTAATTACGTTTACGTATACCTTAAGCCTATGAACACATGAAATCACTGCCCAATCGACCAATTTGGACCCATTTGACAAGGCACTCGTGTGGCTGAGATACCGAGAACGTTGTTTCGATGGTTTCAAAAAAAAAAAAAAAAATAGAACACCAGATTCATGGATGGAGTTGTAAAGGGGGAAGGAAGAAGATAGGACTCTGGCGATATGAAGTGGAAGACGAGGATTGTACATAAATGGAAGAACATTAGCAACGTTTTATTCTAATTGGTCGGCAAAAATTTGTAGCTTGAGTCGTTTTGCAAAAAAATAACGAAAGATTAAAATTATTGTTGCTCCTTCTTTTTCTTCCACGATTGTGTCCCGCCGATAATGTTCCTCTTCGTAAGGGTAAGGAGTTGTAACGCCAACGTCTTTTCTTAAGACCTTCCGTATTTAAAAAAAAAAAGAACATATTCTTCGATTTAAATCTAATTTCGATAGCGTTTCGCTTTCGTTCGAGCTTAATTTGTTCGAGGCGATTGAGGGGCAGGACACCTAAACATCTACCTAAGACAGAAATCGGTGGAAAATCGGTTGGTCCCTTTGCAAAAAAAAAGAAGTGTAAAATAAATAAATTCTTATCCGTCCGCTTGTTTCTACTACTAAAACGTTAACGTTATTTACACATGAGATTGCTTACGCACGCTGAGGTAAACGAGAGACGTCTTTGCTGGTTGTCACCTGACGCGAAGAAGCTTTCCTTTCTTTTTCTTCTCAAGTAAGTAAAGACGCAACGAGAGTTCACTTGGACAAAATTCGCCGCTCAACAATAATTGACTCTCACCTCTTTCTCTATTTTTCTTTTTAGTTTCCTATTCTCGTTTCGACTTTCTTAACGTTTCGTAAATAGAGACCGACACAACATATCCGACTACACGTCGATCGTCGGGGATACGTTATTTGGTCAGAGTTACTGGTCATCGCTTATAACAATAATAAACAAATTATTGCCTGATCTTCGGGTATTTTTCAAACTAGGAAGTCGCGCGAATAACGCGACGATTTTATTTAAAAATAAAATAAAAGGCTCTCCCGGTGCTGTTCATGCTGTTTCTTACTAAAGAATCAAATGTTCTATATCCAAACACCGTTTAGTTTCTCTCGATTAGAACGTTCGTTTAGAAACTTCACAAATTTGCGTGCTTTTATCTATGTAAATTCATTTAAAAAAACTTGTCGACACGCGTTTTTATAGAGAACATGCGTTGTCTCCAAACATTTTCAAGATAAACCAGTCCGACGTTCTCTTTCAAGATTTTATAAAAATATCGTTGGAGAAGTATGATTCTTGAAGTCGTATGAAAATGATCGGAGATGTGTTTCTTTAGTAGAAGCATGATGCGACCTTGTCATCTCGAGATCGATGCCCAGACTCGTACGATAAAGTAGATAAAGGAGAAGTGACGTTGAAATTGAAACATTGAACGTTACAATAGCGATTCGAAAGGCACTCGTACTTTTCGATCCGAACACGATCGAAACGTTTCGGGCACGCGATAAAATTTGAATCGAGATGCGGCCGAGGTCAGCCATCAGCACCGGTCGGCCTTAACCTTGTCGCTAGTCGTGCAGATTTTTGCTAAGCAGCAAATTATTGTGCGGACCCGACAGATGCCTGATCAGCTCTTGTAAACTATCGAAACTTAACGAACAGAAGCAACAAGTAAACGTATTGTCCGGGGCTGCTATAACGCCTCTGTGTACCGAGCAAAGATGCTTCAGCAGATGGGCCTTTTGCTTAAACATAGCTACACAAAGTCTACACGCGAACGGTTTTTCACCCGTATGCACTCTTAAATGCGTCTTCAAGTTCCACGACATTCCGAACTGTTTCCCACAATAGCTGCACCGATACTCGCGGGCAGGGGTAGATTTTGGCGGATCGTCTGTCGGCGGCGGCGGGGGCGCCCTCGCTGGTGGTAGGGCCCAAGAGCCCCAAGGTGGTTCCAAACCCGCTGCCGATGCTGGATCCGCGCTTGGAGGTCTGTGCGACGCTCCTGGAGGTGTCACTGACCTGTCCTGCTGCATAAATACGAATCTTTGTATAAATGCAGATAAGTTTAAGGGCTGTTTCGGGCATAGCACATATCGCATGAAAAGAGCATCAATATTGGTTAATGTATCTTTAATATTTGGACGTATTTTGAAATTCTTCAATTTCATACGACTCTCGAAAAAGCAGACCTGTTCAACTGGCGCCCGTGGGTAGAATAATATAACGACGTTGCGAGTCAATAAAGAGTAGGGCAGTCATCCCACTCTTTCAGCATTCCATCGCTTTCAAAACATATTCAGAGCGGAGACACAAGAATATCGTAGACTTTCACTAATGCTAATATTTAATAAAGGAATTGATGGTAAAAACAGCACGTGGTCCATAAGGTGCGATCAGCAATTGCACAAGGGGCATCGAGCTGAACAGGCCTGGTTTAGAAAATGAATTTCTAATCGACATCGAGTAGTTAAATGATAGGTAGAAATGATGAATTAATATAGAAAACAGAAGATACTTGTATCGTACCAGGTACGGAGGCGCGGAGACGCTGAGAGGATGTGGCGCTTGTAACCGTCTCGGGGTTTCGAAACCAGGATTAAACGGTACGAAAGCTGGATTCTGTGCTGGAGCATTGTGGAAGCCTGGCCTTCGTTTTCGATGGGGCGTCACGACGTACGCCTCCGCAGGTGGGATAGGTATTTCTTCCGGTTTTCGTTTTCCCTGTTCTAATCCTAACGCGAGCCGAGCGGCTAATTGTCTTCTCCTCTCTTCCGCTTCCTCCAGAGATTCTCGCCTCTCCAGTAATTGTTTTTCTGGTCTGGATCAAACGCAACGCGTGAGATTTTTTATCTTCTTCGACTAACTCGAAATGCAATGTCGTATTAGGACACGTTTCCAAGTAGCGCGAAATAATGAAATCCTTACCTAGGCACGATATCGTGCGAACCCTCGCTAGTGGTCGAAGTACCCGAATTTAAGCTCAAGTTCACAGGATCGGAACTATCCCTCCGTCGGGGTGGTTCTATACTGCTTTCTCTGTTCTCCGTAAGAATCCCTTCACCCTCGACCCCTTCGACGTCCACTTCCGGCTCCTCCTCGCAGCCCTCGGTCTTTATCAGCACCGAACAACAGTCTGCGGGATTGTTGGATTGCCTGAAAATTTCCACGATTAACGCGACGTTTCTTCGCGAAAGATTAACTGTAATTTGCAAAATTATACGAGGCTCCTCGGTATAGCGCGTACCTACACATCTATGCGAACCCGAATGGTTGGTAAATGTCGAACCCGGGAAGAATGACATTATGAGAATATCGATATCTTGCATGAATACCAAGCAAAGATCTTAATAGTTTTCTATCTTGGAAATTACAATATCTATTTCGTTGATCGTATTGACATTTCACGAACACTTAACGCTGCTACGGTCTTTACCAACCTGCCGTCATACTGCGACTCGTAGCTGGAACTTTCCTGGCCCTCCGAAGGCTGAGGGGTGGGTACTCTTTCAGGATCGGAGTTGCTCGATGTCTGAGGTTGATTCGGCTCGAACAGTTCCGATTTAATTTGAAGAAGCTCGAACAGTTCCCTCAGTGGCGTGAGTTCCGTCGACTGAAAGCAAGAAAATTATGTTAACGATTTTAATTAATTATCGAGTTAGCTTATAACGTTGTCCCTGAATGGGTTACTCACAGGTATGAGAGCTTCTCCGTTGTAGAGGAATTCCAGCAGATGGGTCAGCTGGGTTTTTCGGACCCCCGACAAATGGACCACATGGTCCAACGCGGGATTACGAAGAAGACTAGCCAAAAGGGGACTAGCTGCTGCCAAAACTACACGGTGAGCCTTCACGACGGACCCATCGTCGCAAGCTAACGTCACGTCCACGTGACGGTCCCCGGTGTACCAGGCTCCGACCTCTGCGGCCAAGGTCGCTGGATGCTTCCCATAATGGAGTGTCAGGAGACCGTCAGTATACATCGTCTGCACATACGAAATTATTGATATTAGAAACAAATTTCCAATCTATCAATAGACAGGGTAGAAGAAGAAAAATACAGTGAAACGTCCTTCACCTAATTAATGCGATTTTGTCGCCACGTGTCATGCAAAGACGACTTCGTTACACTAATTTCATCTTTCCGTGTCCCGCTTTTCTTAGAAACGACGGAAGGCACTGACGTATCCTAAGATTATGCTTCTCACGTTTCTCTGACATTCGCTCAGCTTTCTGCTAAGAGCTTGAATTGCATCTAATGACAGCTAGTCCGTATAATTATGTTACCAGGTTATACGTCGAATTCAATTCCACGGATACATTTCAATGAAAATGATTTCAATCCATTTGATTATTTACAATAGATCTCAATTTATGACGCAACGATAATGAAGTTCCATAATGTACGTTTGAATAAATTTGACATTTGGTTATAGCCGAGTCTCCAACGTTTCTCAAGGGGATCCACCGGAGAGAAAGTTTGATTTCACGTTATACTCTGAGCGAGCAGCAGTGTAATTAATATTATGAAACCAATGCCGTAAACATCCACGCGTTCCGCAATGTCAAACGTGTCTCGTGTACAATAAGCTTCACGTTCGTATCTTCTCCTTTATAGATAGTCGATAAAGAACTTTGTTAACTAACGAGAAAGATGAACAGTCAAAACTTAGGTGTACCATAGTGAAAGAAGCACGTGTGGTGGTAGCAACGCGATACAAAAGCGGATACGCTAGATATGACCTTCAACGAATGATCCGATCAAATTGGAAAGGGAAGACCTTGAGTAAAAGTCACGAAGATCTATGCGATCAAGAATCATGCATGTTTTTCATTTCTTTTACATCCAGACCGCCCATCGCTCTCATATCCTATTTCGTCATCATCGGTCATCGCAAGTGTCTCAAGTTCAACCTTATAACGCCATAGAATTTCCGTGGTACCATGGATTTTCCTTTTATATTTCCTAACAGATGAGATGGTATCACATAGGTAGTAAATTGCAAGGTATTCTATCCACTCTCTTTTTCGATCTTTCAGCATTAAACCTAATTTACCAAGAGGAGGACAATAACCCATAACAGAGTGCTAGTAAAACGAGTAGAGTGCTAGTAAGTAGTTGATAGAGCGGTAAATCTAGCAAAATGGGATAGTAGGACACGCGGAGCAATATACTTCATCGATGTAAACCAGTCTGTGCATCGCTTTCATAACATCTCCGAGAGTACAATAGGATTTACTATCCAATCGTAACGAAATAGATGTTAAGACCAATATGTGATCACTGTTCTCGCATTAGAAGCTCTCCTCATCGTTTGGATGCTGCTTTTGGTGGCGGTGTTTATCATTCGACGAAGAGTGTCTCGATCTCGGGAGGAATCGAAGAGAGTTGGCAAGGAAAGGAAAAAAGGGGCAGGTCCTTGGGGTAAAGAATTATGGTATGACGTCGAACGAATGCATTACTCGGCCGCATACGTAATGTATCGTCGGCCACTTACCAAGAAGATCACTGAATAAGGAAATGGTTGGTGGTGCGTCTGCGTTGTTGTTGCTGCTGTTAGCAAGCACGACTGAAGTTCAGGGTCAATCGCTGACCGACCGACCGGCTGCATTACGTCCACGCTTACGCTTACGTTCGTGTTTCTTCTTCTATTTGGACCTTGAAGACTTGCCGGGCGGGGTCTCGTGCCGTTCGTGTTTAGTGGGGGGACAAGGCCCCGTGTCGTGCCGCTGAATGCAGAAAACTCTGGCCCACTTGTCTGTCCATCGGGTGGGGACTTACCCAACCCCGACTTTGCCAGTTTTACCGGTCAAGATGTAGGTCTCTTTCCTTTTGTATAGTGCTGCACTCTCTCCGTGAAATGCTGGCCAAACCAACCCGAGCACTCGGTGCATTTCGACGTCGGTAATCAACGAATCTCTGCCTTGTCGTTCGTTGATAAAATCCTGATATCTCGCATAGAGAGCAGCACACATTTTGGCGGCGCACGCTCTCATTCAAATTACTCCAAAATGTAATTTTTTTAAATTTTATTTGAAATAAATTAAATGTGCTCTCTTATCAGTGAAAATAACACCTTGTACCACCTCCCTTTCCTAATATGTTTCTATCATGAAAATGGTTATCTTTATAAGGTTGATAAAATAATTTTCATCGTGGATATCGGTGTTCGTACATTATGTACATTATGACTAACAGTTGCAATTCCATCGGTGTATCCTAGGAAGTCTGATATCGTTCGGCATTAAAATTTATCAGAAATTTATTGGTGTCGATCCGAGGCCGATGCGATCTAATTTCATTTCTTCCGTTTCTCGCTCACGTGTTGTTCTCGTGTGTAAGATCGAATCGGGGCGAGCGAGCGTTTGATAAGGGAAAAAGGAGAAAAAAAAAAAAGAAAACGGTAAAGAGGTAACGATGCAATAAGAACTAGTGCAACGAGTTCGCGAGGCGAAGATAAGATAAGAACAAGAGGAGAAAGTTGGTGGAATTCGTAAATTTCGTTACGCGAACTCTCCATGGACGTCGGTCGTTTTATCGCCTCGGCATACTAATACCCTCGCACCGTGTTCCCGTGTGTGTACACTTTCGTCTTGTCGGTTCACACAACGTACACGCTCGGGCGCAACGATGCGCAGTGCCATACATGTACACTCATACATGTGAGCATTATAATCTATCCGGATGACGGACGTTACGATCTACCATTGAATCGAACAATGGCGAAACTGGGTTACGCAAATGTCGAGGCTGGAAATTAAAGCGAGACACGGCTGATAGGGAGAGGGAGGGATGGCTTACACCGACATCCAACGGTGAAAAAGATTGAACTCTCGTGTACAGGAAAAAAAAGAAAGAGGAAATGCTCTTTGATATTAATTGTAAGATTACTGTTTCCTTCGGATGTACATTTTTAACGAGTCACCGAAACCGGGCCAAAGTGAAACGCTTCAAATTTAATGAGACAGAAAGTGTTAAAATAACATACATTTTTGGGGATTTTTATTTGAAAAACCTTGCAATTTTTTTGTAAAGAAAAATGAAATGAGAAATATAAAAGAAATATTGTGTCTTAATCATTCGTTGTGATTTAGTAGTAGCCGTAAAATTTTTTAAGAGGGTTAACGCTTTGAGCGTGAAATTCCTTGTTCCTAGGTAACAGTGCGGATTCGCGAAAATAATAGAGGTGTTTTGGTGTTTGTCGTAAAGGGAACAGATCGTGACGGTACGCATTAAGGCGAGGCGGCTCAAACCGCGCAAACCAGCCTGCACGGATTGAGCAACGCGTAGAGAGAACTCGTTACGAGGCCTGTAACGGGGTTCAGGCGTTTCCGCTCCATTTTTTGTGGGCCCAATTACGTTTCGCCAGCCTCGATAGGACGTGTTTCGCGGTCTCATCGGGCATCTCTCATGCACATGCACTACGCACCCGCAAACCTCGAAAAGCGTTCGTTTGGAACACCATAGAACATTGCGGAGAGGCTACACGACGTCTTACCGCAAAATTGTATCATCGACAACGGAAGAAATTCCTTCTAACTCATCCCGATTGAAAGGATCTCCACGTCTTTGCTCGACAAATTGTTATTTTAAAGAAAATAGAAATTAAAAAGCAACCAATCATTGTTACTACTATAAATGACCAAAATGGGAAGGACACGAGTAGCGGAAGTGGTAAAGTTCGTTTTATCGAATCACCGTTTACCGCTTCTTACGCATTTGCATATGCTGCTATTTATAAATAGTGTGAAGCAAGTATAAGTTATTCATTATATTCGATAAAAAAAAGGGATGTTAATCACGGTCATGCTCTTTCTATTTCAGCTCCTTCCGCTATTAACGACGTTAAAGATACTTCATTTAATTCCTAATGGACAGTGTTAAATACTTTGAAACACGATGATTGCTCGTTTGACACTACGTACGCGTATAGTAGAAATCGAGCGTTATTCTTTCTACTTGGAAATAACGTCGTGGCTCGTTAATTCCTCATTGGGCAGACATCGCGTTTCGCGTTTTAGAATTGAAAATACGTAATTTGAACCGAGGGCAGGGTTATGACACCCCGTGAAACCAGTGACTCACACCTTTCCCTGATTTCGAATTACTATTTTCCAGCCAGTCTCTCACGCTCTCCCTCTTGCGCATCGCTCCGTCGACTGTAACGTACTCTCTCTGATATTCTTTCTTTGTCTCTCCATTTCACGTTACTCCGTCCCTCTAATTTGCCCGCTTTTTAGCCAAGCTTACGAAAATCCTCGGAACGCGTTCGAACATTACGAAACGCAATAGTGCGAGAAATGAACGAGAGAGGAGTAAAGGGATGCACAGTTAATTAGATAAAAGAAAAAATCAGCAAATTTTTCAAATAAATTCAATGAAAAAGACGTCCAAGAAATAAATAATAGCTAATTACAGTTACCCTTGGTACGTCTTGGTACCATTTTTAGTGGTGAAATTTTACAGAAAATAAATCAAATGTAACATCATAGAATTTGTATAAATAATTCAATGAAAAAAGATCTAACGTCCAAGAATGAAATAGTAGCTAATTACAGTTACCCTTGGTACGTCTTGGTACCATTTATAGTAGTGAAATTTTACAGAAAATAAATCAAATGTAACATCATAGAATTTGTATAAATAATTCAATGAAAAAAGATCCAACGTCAAAGAATGAAATAGTAGCTAATTACAGTTACCCTTGGTACATTTTGGTACCATTTTTAGTGGTGAAATTTTACAGAAAATAAATAAGATGAAACATCACGGAATTAGTGTTAATTTTCTCTAATTGACCGATGACTCAAGTTCCAAACACCAATAATTGAAACAAGAATGATACGTTGGTGGACTAAAATCGACTCATCGATGAATTATTTAGGGAAAAAAGGGGGAGGCAGAATTAATTGGTGAACGGGATGATGGATGAGGAGAAACGTAACGATAGTACGCGTCGAAAGGTAAGAATAAAGCGAACGCAGA